ATGTCAGGGACTTCAAGAAGACGGCCGGTGTTGAGGCCATGGATATCGCCAAACGACTGCAGGACTACGGCTTCCACGCGCCCACCGTCTCGTTCCCAGTGGCCAACACTCTGATGATAGAGCCCACAGAGTCTGAGGACAAGCAAGAGTTGGACCGATTCTGTGACGCCATGATTCGGATCAGGTCTGAGATCAGAGACATCGAGACCGGACTTATGGACAGAAAAATGAATCCATTGAAAGTGAGATCTGATTCTTGTAGTTGTGAACAATATATGTATGAATAATATCTTCATGTTTAGTGCGCACCTCATACTCAACGAGTGATCTGTTCATCCGATTGGAACCGACCCTACACTCGAGAAATGGCTGCCTTTCCCGCTGTAATTCATATTAATTTAATTTTTAAAACTTTTTAATTTCAATTTTTATTTTTTATTTGTTTTACAGAGTTATATAAAACCGGAGACAAAGATGTGGCCAACAGTTGGACGCATTGATGACATCTATGGCGACACTCACCTCTTCTGTACGTGTCCTCCAGTCACGGATCAGTTGTACTGATAGTTGCACTCAATGTATATAAATATTTTTGATAATAAATTCTTTAACTTTAGATATTAAAATTAATTTTTACCGTAAATTAAATTTTATTTAATCAAAAATTAAGCAAAACAAGTGTAATATAGGAGTTAAGTTATACAGTATTTATTTAATCACAGTTTATATTTAATTGTCGTTAGTTTTGAGATCTATTATAATTATAAGTGTATTGAAAGTGTGTTTAATTGGATGAAAGCATTTCAAAAGGACAGAGAAGTGTCTCATTGTCTCTAATCCTGAGTTCAATGACAAACGGTTTGATCTGAAACTCCTCGTCAGCAATGAATTGCTTATGATTGCGTAGAAACTGTTGGTCAGTCTTATCTCCAAAACCAAAGGCACCTCTTTGACCGATTCCTGCACTTAGAGGCGGTGGTAATGGCATGTCATCAACACATCCGCCACCACTTAGACGCAGCACCAAAAGAATTGTTGATCCATTTTGAATGTCATAATCACTGGCATTCCCGCCAGCATCGAGTTGTCTGCCTTCGAAAATGAGTCTTTGCTGATTCGGAGGAATGCCTTCCTTTTCTTGTATCGCATACTTTATGTCTTCAATGGTCTCATTCGGACATATCTTTATTACGATACATTTTTCGGTCAAAGTCTTCACACAAATAGTCATCTTCTGGTTGTCGTCCACTTTCGGTCTTCCCTTCTCGACCTCGAAGGCGAACCCAATCCGTGAGCACAGGATCTCTGCGTTCTCACGAGTCATCGACACTTCTTGTGCCACGAGATCCACCACCAGATTAGCCATCGGTTTATTAGGACTCAAGAACCGCAAGTGATTGCCATTGGCTTCCAATGCTCGGAGTGATGACAATCCTGAACTTATGATGTATTTATACTCTTTGCCGTAAGTTATAGTAAAAGCCATTCTTCGCCCATAAGTGGATCTGTTGTCGAATCGTATCTCAAAGTCGATGTCATTGTCGTCGAACAGAGCAACAAACACATCATCCGCTCCATCAGGACTGTGTCTAAACTCCACACCACTCCTGCGACCATTTGCACCCACTTGCCTTAACTTCAACCGCAAGTAAACAGTCTTCGAGTGATTCATGAGAGCAATGGTATTGTCGTCAATGACTGGACTCAGCTGTCAATCAAATTGTTATCAATTGTGTAATCAATGAAATCAAATAATTCAAAAACCCATTGAATACCAATAGTTTGTGTTTGGAGTCCATTGCGGCGCTAATTAACTGGAACCCAATTGGATTTAATAGTAATTACTATTAACTAATACTAACTAATCGTATATTGAATGAAAAACTGCACACAAAGTGTTTGTGAAAGCAGTGGTGGACTGACACAAGACTTACAGCTTATGATAGCACTCGCAGTCATACGATCACTGAATGCAATGCTTTCTATAAGGCGGCGTGCACAAAGTACGTACGCAAAATTTTGTTCAAAAATTTACCCCCCCTCCCCCCTACACGCCCATCGTACATAGGAATTTAACATGGTGACATACGCTTTGGCATGACCCCCCTCCCCCTACCAGT